GATACCTAACAGATTTATTTTTCTCAAGTCCTCCTCATCCTCCTGTATTTCTTTTTAATCTTTCTTTTCCATGCAACACTCCTTTGCATTTTTTCCCCCAAGTTTCTGCCCAGGTGGAGAGTTTTATATGTTCTTAGCTGTCAGGTTTTGTTGTGCAGGGTTTTTAGCAGCAAGGTCAGTCCACAGGAAGTTTTGTTATTCCTAATGAAGGATAGGTGGCACTCTTGTTATTTTTGTTTGGTTCCTGAAATAAATCAGGTGTATGTACTCTCTCAGATTTCTTTTTATAGAATAAGTGCTTTAGAGAGTGTTCTTGAACATGAAGAGGATGTGATTTTATTATTATTTTTTTTAAATGTGAACACGTACTTCAGTTGCCTGAGTCTGTGGCTGGATCACAGTACTCTCTAGGAAGAGAAAATATTATTTTTAGGAAGACCTCAAGGAAGAGTGCTCACCTATATGGCACTGCCTCATATTACTTATAAAATTTTGGATTGTTTTTTCTATTTTCTTACTATTTAATAAGGCAAAGAAGAAAGCCAACAAAGCCCTTAATGTAATTTAAACTCCAGTTATTAATACCTTTATACTTTGTATTTTCTTGTTAGTTTGGCCTTTGAAGCAGAGGCTTAAGCTGGCATGCTAATCCTAGCAGTGCATGTTAGCAAGTCCTAAACAGTGCAGAGAGCCTTGACTCCTCAAAGCAGGGCAGTAAATCTGTCTTGCCCTAATTCTATCAATTCATTGTAAAATTGGATGAGTTTGTGAGTTTGAGTGTTTTCTCTCAGGCTCCAGGAATCTGAAGCACAGCACAGCTCATGCTGGTGAGCTATGACGTGTCTGGGGGGTTCTGGAGCTTTGCGGGAAGGCTGGAGTTTTAAAGCTTAGCTCCCTGGGATGTTTTCCCTCCTCAGGTTCTGGGGAGGTGTTTGAACCCTGATGCTCTCATGCTGCAAATCAGATCCACGCTGTTGCTCCCCTGGGCTGATTGCTCTGGCTGAGGCCAAGTGCTCTGCTGACCTCAGCCCTGCTCCTCTTGATCCCCTCATCAGTTCCATTGATTCTGCTCCAGCTCTTCCCAGCAAGAGAAGAGCTCTTGCCCCAAGGCTGAAAGGATGAGAAAAGTTTCCATCCTGCCTCTGTTCAAGAGTGCCAATGTCCTCCATGTGAACATCTAAACACTCAGTATTTTGTGGTGTTCTGGCCATGCGAACATCTCTATGATGGGGTCATGGCTCCTCTGTGGGCTTCTCCATGGGCTTCTCCAGGGCCACACACTTTTCCCAGGAAATATCCCACCTGAAGCCCTCAAAGCAAAGCCATTCCCAAGCTCTGAATGTCCTGTAAAGCTGCTTTGGTAGTGTGGTTCAAATAAAAATTTAAATAGGTAACGTGGAAAGAAAAGGAGGTGTTGATTCCAGACAAAATACCCCAAAACGCTTGTGTGGGTTTTGTTGTACATTTCACAATAGGTGCTATTCTCTAAGCATGGCATAATGTGCTTTGTGGGTTTTAATTTTTTTTTCAAGTTTAAATTTTAGTTAACTACAGTTTAGATTTCTGGACTTGACGCTATGCTGGGATGCTATGAATTTAGATGAAAGCAAATCTCTCTTGAAAGAATTTCCAATCTAATTTAGTTTTTAGGTATATTTACTTTAAAATATTTAGTTAGAATACATTCACTAGCGAAAGTGCTTGATTTTAATTTTCATGATGATTGGATTATGGAATTAAAAGTTGATTGAACAAGTTATTTTGCTTTATTGGTTGAAGGAACATAACTTGGCAGTTTATTTTGCAGTTTATATTTTTGGTGCCATCTCATGTAACACAGGCTCGTGTATTACTCATCCCTCCCTTCTCCTGCAAAGCCTTTTGGATTTTTTCTTTCTCTCTTTAATTTCAATACCCTGGAGTGTTTGAATTCAAGAGTCTCAAATAAAAATCTATTTTGGGGCAGGAAGTTTTCTTGATGTTTTGGGCAACATTTACTTCTACTTTCTAATGCCAAATCATCTTTCAAGCTGATGCCATTAAGGCAGAGAATTTTGTGGTTTGTATAATAATACAAGTCCCAAATGGTGGCAGTTATTGAAGTTAACACTTTTTGCCCAACTGTGGGAGTACCAGCATCTTTGAGAGATTCCAATTTTGGTTCTTATTTATGCTTGACATTTAATGTGCTTGACATTCTGATTATTTTACACCTACCTAATTTCTTCTAGCTCCAGGGATAATGACAATATTTTAAGCATCTGTGAAGTGTATCTGTGTGTTATGGAGCAGGTGCAACGCTACAAATGGAAGGAAAAAGTCCCCAAACTATTTCTGGAATAATTGTTTCTTTTATGTTGCATATCTCAGGGTCAGGTAGAGTCTCTCACCAGCTTGGTCACCAGTATTAGCTTTACTAATATTTTATATCCTGTTATTTAACCATATGCCTATCTGTGTGTGTATAGATAGAAATAAATCACATAATGCGGACTGGGTGCTCACATGGTGTCCTTTGTGATCTAGGGGCAAGGCAGTAGAGAGAGAGTTTCCCAAGTTGTTACTGCAGATTTATATTTTCCCTAAAGTTTAAATTAAAATAACATATTATAAAATTCAGCCCTTTAAACTGAGCCCATGTGTCCATGGCACACCTTTAGTGTAGAACTTAGAACTGTGTGTTGGTTTATAGATAATTGGGATATAACCCAAGAAATGAAAATATATGGGAGCAAAATTACCCAAATGATTGTAAGTACACTCTGTGTAAAGTCCTTACTCTCTCTTTGCAAAGTAATTTCATTAATCTTTTTGAGTTGTATTCCCTTTATTATGTGGTTCCCTGCAGTCATGTCAGGTTTTAGGCTCTTTTGAAAAGGTTAAAATGGCTATCAGGGAAAGAGGGAGCAGGATGAAAACAGTGGGAAAACCAAGTTCTTCACAGAAGTGCAGCTGGTGGCCACAATTTCCTTTTTTCATGTACTGGAAATCTCGTGTTCCATTTGACTATTGACTACATGAGGGGTGGCAGAGAGAAGTTAAAATACTTTATTTTACAGACCCATGTGGGTACATGTTAAATACTTGCCCAAGTCCTCCCAAAACTATCACCATGGCCCAGCCAGGGGTCCTTGAAGCAGCCCTAACTGAATGGGTTTTAGGAACAATTTTAAAAATTCCTTTATTTTGCAATCTTGCCACCTGGTGGTACAGCCTGATAATAAATATTTGGTTAGAAACCTGTTCCAAAAGTCATATTTTCTTTGGTAGACAGGGTCTGGAAACTGGGATTTCAGACTGGACCCTATACAGGTTCCTGTTTGTAGCAGGCAGGTTCCGTGTGTTCCTCCTTCACTGTCAGTGCCCTGTGTGGGGCAGTGCAAGGCTGTGCATCCCTTGGCATTAAATATCACAGAGTCACATCAGAGGCTGCCTTGGGTTGGAAGAGACCTTAAAGCTCATCCCATTCCACTCCTGCCATGTTTAGGGACACCTTCCCCCATCCCAGGCTGCTCCAAGCCCCATCCAGCCTTGGGCACTGCCAGGGATCCAGGGGCAGCCCCAGCTGCTCTGGGCACCTGTGCCAGGGCCTGCCCACCCTCACAGGGAAGGATTTTTTTTCCTAATGTCCCATCTAACCCTGCCCTCTGGCAGTAGGAAGCCATTCACTCCTGTCCTGTCTTTCCATCCCCACAAAATCAGCTCCCACTGATTTCCACAGACATGAGGGGAGAGGAATTCTGGGTGCATTGTGTGGTCCTGGAGCACTGGGTTGTGCATTAACCTTCACAATACATTTGAAATGTGATTTAAAAAAGAATGGTGTCCATGTCCTGGAAGTCCCTGGTAAATTACACAAACTAAACTGACCTGAGTTAGAGTAAGAATATTTAAGGGGTGTTGCTCTACCTCAAATAAGTCCTACAAAAACCAGCAATATGGAACTGAGATGTGTTTGGATAGTTTGAATGTTCATTTGGGCACAAGGTGGAGACTGAATAAAGCCCATGAAGTGCCAAACCTGGCAGAGCTGACAGTCAGTGGCAGGAGCATGGGGGAAGTCACTCCTTTATGCTAATCCAAGATGAAGCAGATGTGATCCCACTGGTGTCTGCAGGGAAATCCTCATTTATAATGAAAGATGTTTTCACATGGTGTTCAAAGGGCCTTAAACAATCCAGTTTTTGCAAGCTGAATCCAAACATGATTTACTGAGGGGTGTGATGAATTGATCATTAGCTGGAACTCACAAGCCAGAAGTGGATGTTTGCTCTCCCAGGAGTGTCCCCTCTGGCTCTGCCAGATGCTGTGGTGTGACACCAGTGTAATTCTGTGCTTGGCTCAGACATGGCATCGTGCTGGAGCACAACCATCCCTTTCAGTACCAAAACATGAAAAACGCATTTCTTGCTGTCTGTCCTTCCAGTGTAGTGGGGATGTGTTCCCACATCCCATCCAAGGAGGGACTCTCCTTGCCTGTCATTCCCTGCACCCTCCTGAGCATCTCTTATGAAACCACCCAGAATGTCACTTATTCACCACAACATCGCTGTGCTGACCCTAAGACCTCTCAATTATTCCCTTCCAAGTTCTTGTGTCATGCAAGGAATGTCTCCCCTCTGCTCCTGCTCTCTCTGCTGGCCCTTCCCTCTCACACAGACACAACACACACGGGGTTTTCAGTCCCCAAACACATAAAATATCACATTTATTTACAAATATGAGAGGCCAGAGGGCTACAGTTCTGATAAATGGGTAAGAAGAGATATCACTGGGACTGTGTTTGCAAGCTTTTAATTCACATCTTTGGTCACAGATTTGGAACTTTTTAATCCCTTGATTTTACTGCAAAATGTCCCTAACTATTTATGACACTGGATGTTTGCTCTTGGATCTGTTTCTCCTGTGGGGCATCCTTTAGATCAATCCTTGTTTGTTCTATTAATTTGCTTAATTCTCTGGGGTTTGTCAAGTCTAATTATCTTCTTTCTTTCTTCCAGTTTTGAAATCAAGATTGATTAGCCAACACGAGAAGACCCAGCTGGTTATATGACTCAGAACCCTGTTCATGAGGCACTTGCTTGTTTTTACAAGACAACTGTAAGTTGCTTCTTTTTCTTTTCCTCCCTCAAATTAAAAATCTACTGTTGTAACTTCATAGAAATTCTGGAAAATTCTTGAGGAATTCACTTCGATTGGTAAAGACAATCTTGAATTTTGGCTTGGTGATGCCAGCCAAGGACCCAGATGTGCTCTATTCACTTTTCCAGAGATTTTTTCCACATAGTGATGGTTTTCCATTGTTTAAGGAGAGATTCCCTTGGCTAGGAAGATCAATCTGCTGTCTCTGTACGTTGTGCTATGTGACATGTGGGATCAGGGAATGTGACAAACCTGTTTGGAGCGCACTGCTGGTGGATTGTGTGAGGAGATGCTGAATCCCAGCATGGAAGTGGCGCAGGAGGAGTTGGCTCCTCTGCAGACTGGTACCTCTGGCAGAGTTCTGCATTCTCCCACAGCCCCCAGACCCTGAGGTTTTGCACTAAATAATGATTCCTCTGTACTTGATGTAGACAGGGATTTTCCCCCGCAATTATAAATTTGTTCTTCATAAGGCAAATCCTCAATTTTACTCACAAACTAGAATTTCTCAAGTAAACTATCAGTTATAGTGTGGAATGCAAGTGTGGGGATGCAGAAATGGAAGTTCCAGCAGTAATAGTGCATGGCTTAATTATTTTTTTGATCTATATAATGAGCTATGTTTTATAAGCTGAACTTAATAAAATTATTAGATCCAGGTGGAGTGCTGATACATTTGTCACCATGTTTGGTGCAGTGTGAATCTAATTTATCATTTTTCACTTGTGTGAAAATGCTCTGCCTTAGCAGTGATGAGACTTTAATTTCTGTAAGCAGGTGGTGGGGGATTTAATTATTACATTGTGGAAGGCATACATTTAGAGGATGTTCCACCCAGGTGAGCAGGAATCCAGCCAGTGCTATTAGGTATGGGGCAGCACCACATTATCTCCAGCTTTTCTTTAGCTAGAACTGCACTGAAAGCCAGGCAGGCTGGGTTGCCTGAACTTCATAATCTTGTTAAAATGGCATTGCCCAACTGCCACTGATTGTATAAACATTCCACTGTTTTGTACCAGCTGGTATTTATTCTGAATTTTCTCTTGAATAGCAAGTGATTCTAGTAACTTGCAAGTGGTGATACAATGCATGTACAATCTGTATTTTCATTTGTTACCTCTCTTGTTGATGAAGGTTCATTAACCAAGGAGGGAAAATGAGGTATAATGTTCAAACTCTTAGAGTAAAAAGGGAAAATAGCATTCACCAGCAAGTACATTTTGGGCTTATGAAATAGTAGAACCAATAAAGAAATATTAGTAAGTATTAACTGTAAAATAGAATTTTGTAGAGTGAAGTATAAGCTTAGTATTCATTTTTCTGATTGCAAGGAGATGTCTGAGCAAATTTGCTTTATGACAACAATAGATATATTCCAAAAATATTGAGAATATTAGCAAGTTATTAGGGAAGAGTGAGAATCACACTCTTTTTTTCAGCAGGTAAACATAGGAAGGACAGCAAGAGCACCCTGTTGCTTTGGGTGTCTGCTCACAGAACTCTCCCTCTCCTATGATGTGTGTGGAGCAGACTTAAAGATTGATAGCAGAAGCACAAAGAAATGAATAACTCAGATTAAAAGGCTTTGCTGGTTTTCCGTGGGTAATGAAGGAAGCTGTCTATAGATTGGAGCTCTAAGTTCTGGGTACCTGCTATGCAGAATACTGCACAAAATTGTTTTAGATTAATTTTTCTACATAGTATATTGAAAAACCTGAAAAAAACCAGTTGTGTTAGGAAGTTAATAAAAATAATTATATTATACAAAGTGGCACTTGCACGGATTTAATGCATTCAAAATATTATGTAATGGAAATGTGGGGAGAAATTACTCAAAGGTTTCTCTCTTTTTCCACTCCTGATTTCCAGACAGATTTCCACTCAGGCGATGAGTGCACCTACAGTTCTCACCTCCATGTAAATGTTTGATAGGCTCTTTTAGCTAAAACTAACCCAATTTTTATCAAAATATTCTAGTGGGTGCCTATATTTTTTCAGTATAGAGCAGAATGAAAACATGGTCATAATGAGTGTGTGGGCAACTGTACCATCAAATATTGCAGAGTGCTCAGCATCACTTCTCCCTGACAGCAGCAGTTTGTCACTGGTGCTTTAATGAAGGTTTTAATAGGTGCCACAAGCTGTGCAGACCAAATATTGTGCTTGCCTTTCAAAGTAATACAGATTCAAGCTTCATTTTTCCCAAAACTCTTAAAACAAGTAGTCTATAATCTATTTGTCAGACATTTAAATGTCTGTAAGAGACTGAAAAGTGAAGACAGACTTACTAGAGAGGGAACTTTCTTAGTCATTCAGCTATTAAAAAAAGAAAAGCCTCCCGAGGTTTTGTCCTTTTTTTTTTTTTTTTTTTCCAGAGAAATAAACAGAGTTTGAAATACTGTAATTTTCTCTATTTCTCCATACAATAGTTTCAATTCCTGTTGTGGAAGGCAAGCTGCCAGGCACAACCACACAATTCAGTGAGCTTGTAGAGATAAAAAAATTGCAACCCCCAAAACAAACCTTCCTAGAGCCTTCAGCCTCTCCCATCCCATTCCAGGATAAAATGGGCTGAATCCCTGGATTACTCAGTTTAACTCACTCCCAGCCAGAGCTGAGGCTGCACACATGGAAGGTGTTGCTGCCTGCACTGATGAACACGAAGCACATGCTGTGGTCAGACCTTGGCAGGGAGCTTTAGACAAGAGCCAGGAGGTCCTAGAGCTCTGGGAATGCTCTGGGAATGTGTCTGCTGAGCTCAGGAGCTCACAAGGATTTGCTCTTCTCAAAGGCAGCTGCAGGTGTTGTCCTCTCCTAAAGATGTTCCCATGTGAAATCCTTCCTGGTTTTGTTTTGTTGTCCCTGTGATTTTTTGGAGTTATTAATGAGAAACTTTGGGCTGTGCTGTTGTTCCTGAGCTGCTCAGCCCTGAAATGCCAGCTGGAACTGGTGATGGAAAGCTGAAGGAATGGTTTTATCTTGTGTAGCTGCACTTGCTCCTCCTGGCCTGTAAACTCAGGGCACTGGGAAGCCACTGAAACTTTTCCAGTAGTGAGACAACCTTTGGCAGACAGCTTTTGTCACTTCTGCCACCTCCACTGGGGGCAAAGAGCAAAGCATGGGGCTCCCTTCACTGCAATCCCCAGCACAAATTATCCAGCAGCTCATCCCAGACAATGAGAGATGTCAGCAAAGCCTGGTGTGATGTCAGAGACAGCCCCATCCATCCATCATCCATCCATCCATCCATCCATCCATCCATCCATCCATCCCTCACCCATCCATCCATCATCCATCCATCCATCCATCCATCCATCCATCCATCCATCCATCCCTCACCCATCCATCCATCCATCCCTCATCCATCCATCCATCCATCCATCCATCCATCCATCCATCCATGCATTTCTGGGCTTCTTCTGTCCCTGCATTTGAAGGGGAAGAAGAGCCTGTTCCTTTTTCTGGCACCTGTGAATGTGATGACGCTCCTTCAGAGGGGTTGTGCAGAAGCAGAGCAGATCTGTACCTACAAAAATCTGCACATTCATCTTCTCTTTGCACAAATAAATTAAATATATAAATATCTGTGAATGAATCTGAGCTCTTCCCTACAGCTACCTGTACATTCATTTTCTCTTTGCACAACTAAATTAAATATATAAATATCTGTGAATGAATCTGAACTCTTCCTCCTTTGAAGAGCAAACTTCCTTTAATTAGTCTTTCCCTACTGTCTGATGTTAGTGACATTTATAATCATACAATTACTGCTTCATTTCAATTTTATGTTATTTTCAGAGGTCAGGAAGGTTAATATTCCAACATATCCATACTCAGTGAGAGGGTAACAGCTGACAGGAGCTCTTGCATGGGGTTTTCATCAGTAGATCTTGAAGTGCATTAGAAAAATATGGATTTTTATTCCTGTTTTAAAGGTGATGGGAACTGTGGCCCTGTGAGGCTGCCCAGCATGGCTGTGCAAACCTCTTCATGTGTTCTATTGCCTAAACATCCCACCAGACTCCTGAGCACCAGATTAAAATACAATGTGGAAGCACAAGAGCAGAAAAATTTAATGGAATCTTAACGGAATAAAATTAGGATTTAAAAAAAACAAACCCAAAAAATTTGAGCATATTCCTGCTGAATTCTGTATTGTGTGTTTGGTTCAAATAATCTCTTGGATGGATTAACATGAAGTTATTACATAATATCAGTTAATTTTCTAATTAATGAGTGCTACCCTGGGATTTGAGCAATTCTCACCTGTCTTGGTGTGACCTGACTGCTAAAAATGGCAAAGAGCCTCAGTGTCAGGGGCTGCTCTGGCAGAGAGAACAGAGTGTTTGTGCTCCCCAGGGTCCCAAGGAATTGAGCAGTTTTGGGGGGGAAAGTCAGGTGAGACTTCAGTGCCTGCTCAAGGGACAGGAAGAAATGTATTTGATTTATATCAGGGGCTCCTTGCAGGTGCTGTTGGACACATTTCCCTCTCTGAAGAAAGACAAAGTGCTCCAGGGAGCAGCTGCAAATGAGAAATTCCTCCTGACTTTGGAGCAATCCTTGTTGGTATCAATAAATTGCTTGTGATCAATAAAGAGCTGCTGCCCATGAAGAGAAATTCGTGTGTGTGTTTGTGCTTTAGGGTTTTCCTTGGCAGGCTCTTTGATGGTACAGGGTTTGTGGGTGTGCTCCCAGATTTTTACTGGCTTCTGGCTCTTCCTGGAGCCCATATTTCTGCAGGTTTCTCTTTCTGCATAGCACAGAAATGGGAATTTTCTTAATGTGACATGCACAGAGGGCTGGGTACAATTCAAATGCTAATATGTAGAAATCAAATCTCACCAAGAAGTGTGTTAACATTTGTCTTTATTCACACTCTTTTTCAAAGGATATGTGCCAAGCCTTTCTTGACACTCAGAGTATTCTACATTGAACAATTTCAGCCCTGAAAGGCAGAG